TTGAAGTACAATTCTGTACATGACAGGATTATGTGCATATCCTCAGTCAAGGAAGTCCAATCAATGCAGCTATTATTCAAATGTATGTACCATCTACCAAAACGAATGATGCAGACCTTGAAGAATTCTACCAATGTTCCCAGTATAAAATCAATCAAACATTCAATCAAATGCATGGATTATTACTGATAATTGGAATGCAAAAGTTGAAAACAAAGAGAGAGGAAAGAACAGTAATTAGAAAATATGTTCTTAGTAATAGAAATGATGCTGAAGACCACATGACAGAATTTTGCAAGACCAATGACTTTATAGCAATTTTTTTCAATAACACAAAAGGTAACAATACAAGTGACTTTATCCAGATGGGATATACAGAAATCAAATTGACTCCATCTGTATGAAGAGACAACGGTGAAGCTCATTATTAGCAGCAAAAATCAGGCCAGAAGCTGACTGAAACAGACCAACAATTACTACACGTAAGTTTGGGTTGAAGCTGAAGAAAATGAACACAAGCCCGCAAGAGCCGAAGCACGGTCTCGAGCTTATCCCACTTAAATCTACCAGCGTCTCGAGGTCTGACACCTTCGGACAGTAATGACAGAAGACCGGATGAGCTGTGGGAGGCACCAAGGACCTCAGAGATGACGAAAGCAAAGAAGCATTACAAAGACAGAGAAGAAAGCAAAGATCAAAGAGGGTGTCAGAAGAGACTGAAACTCTGTCTTCGCCTTAGAGTAGCTAAGGTACCTGGAAGAAATGATGACGTCAGAGCTAAATAAAACATTCCAAGAGCTTCAAGAAACAGCTCAAATGCCCATCAGGTGAAGAATGGTTAAAGACCTCTGATACGTACGCACACGGACTGTTGTACATCCCTAGAACACAATGATGAAACCACAAAACACTCAATGATATGGATGAATTTGGAAGCTGTTATACTGAGTGATGTTAGTCAATCACAAAAGGACAAATACTGTGTGAGCCCAGTACTATTAGGACAAAAACCAGATAAAGGTAGTCTCTGGCTCCCACAGGCTTGAATATAGTCTTTCAGATGGCGAGGTAGTGTGCCTACCTACTTCCCATAAATGATATATCACATCTTTATTAGAACATCTTAAAAACTACCTCATGAGAGGTGTCTTCACTCCAGATTGAGTCTGTTTCCCTTGTTTTGGGGAGAGGGAGAAGATACATAATTCCTGCCATATAACAGTGTTCTAAAGTTATCCCAAACCAGTAGCGGGCCTTACTGGGAAATCAGATCAAGATGGGAGGGTGTGTGTGTGTGTGTGACATGTCTGAATGACAGAAGGCAATTACAATTTGGATGGGGGGTAAGCCTGCTGAGACACTCGGCCATTGAGAAAAACGGTTAGCATTACTTAGGGAGACCCCAGGGGGAGAACAGATGCAGGATCAGGCCCCAACCCGGCAAGTTTGCAGTCGTTTCCAATCAACCCCTGGCGACCTGGGCAGGGTGCCATGAAAAACGTGGACATTCGTCTCTGTCCTTTTGATGTACACATCAGCCTGCATAGACCACTAGAAGGGCCTGAATTGGAAACCCCACTTTGCCTGGAACTCACTTCTAGCAGAATGAGGAACCAAAATACTCCCTTGAACTGTAGGCTGTCATACCATGGTAAAAGATGCAGATGATTACCCTCCTAAGGTTAGGGAGTTGGTAGTGTTTGGACTTTGGGTGCGTGCAGACCTCTTGCTTGTGCGTGCCCGAGGGATGACAAACCAAGACTAACGTACATTTGAGGCTTTCATGCTTTCTGCCTTTGCTTGTCAAGGGTCAGTCTACCTGGCAATGTCCAGCCTTTGCAAGGGAGTGTTCGTGAAAGCATCGCCATATCTCCACCCCTTATGACTTGTGCAACCAGTGTCCAATCACCCACGTTTTGACGATGTACACATTTAGTTATTTGGAGTCTATCAAGATGTCCTATAGTGTATAATTTCCATTGCACAACAGTATTTTTCCCACGGATGATGATAATGTTCCTATCAATAGAATTACCTGAAGACCCATGGGGATGATCTGTGATGCAGTACAACCAAATGATAATGATGTCTCCAAAATTGAACCAGGGACTTAGAGAAACCATCGATTTATGAGTGGATTTTGAAGTCTCACTTGATTGTTGCGCTAATATAAGAACAATTTATCCTTGTGAAAAAGCATTGCCTGGTACTTTTCATTATGGGGAGATCACTGAAGCTATTAATGCCATACAAGATTGTGGTGAAGAAATCAGGTGGTTCCTGGCTATCAAGAAAATGTGTCTGGGGCCTTAAAGGCTTGTTTCAAAACAAGCAGCCAATTAATTGAGGACTCAGCGAAATCCACATAGAAGAAGCACATCAGCCTGTGGGGTCCAGGGATTGTAATTAATAAGATCCAAACCCAGAGGGGGGAGCAGTACCAGTGCCTAAATTAAAAACACCTGGTTGGTGGAATGTTGTAGATGATAGTGGAAGCCCAAATAAAATTGCAGGATTGCTATGTGGATGGACCCCCAGGTGAATCACCACTGTCCATAGAGGAGGAATGTGGAAAGCCCTAATATCAGACAGAAATCCGACTGAAAGTATATTTTCTTAGCTATTGTAGGCTGCAATGTATCCCCTTGTCATTAGGTCTCATTTTCAATTTATTCTAGGTGCTTAATTTCCTTGAGGTCCGTCTCTTTCATATGACCATTGCTGTTGGGCCCTTTTGTTTGTTTGTTTTTGTTTGTTGTCCTTGGTTTGTATATTTCCCTGGATATGGAAGGCAGGATTGGTGGATTTATGGAGAAAATAACTAGATTGATAATTACCTGGGGGCATGGAAGGGAAGTTTGCGAGAAATGGGGAGTCCACACCAGTGACTACAAGAAGGACAAAAATGTTCCAACAGTGATTGTGGTTGTGATTGCACAACTCCTCTCAATGTGACTGAACTGTTGGGTGTATGTTATAGTATTCATAGATTAATAGAAGTAATTAAAATAACTGCTAGATAAATTAACAAAATGTATGCAACCCTTACCTGCTGTTAGCTGTGACATTTTGCAGCCAAAGAATTCATCTGAGTCAGACTCTGGAGTAGAGTTGACTGCTTGCTCTTTGTGTTCGTGGAGTTTATTGGAATGAGAAGGTGCAGGGTCATATACCTTTCAGCTGCTCCGAGAGACAGATTCTAGGTCATAAACAGAATAATGAATAGTTCAAACATGCTCTTAAATTTAAAAGGCATTATGGAAACGAATGATTGGACAATTTGTTCCCCATCATCCTTCTTTGATTTGTGGCACTATTTTGCATGGTGATCTCTTAATGCCAACCATATGGTGCTACTGAGCTCAATGCATCATCGACATGGTGACAGAAAGGCACTTGCTAGGTTTTAATACCCATAGCTGGCAATATTTTTAAAATAAGAAAAAGATAGAGAAAATTTGTCTCAGAATCTGCTTCATATGGATATTCTATGAACAAACACTTTGAATAAAACATGAATATTATATATATCTTAGACCCTATTGTTACAGAGCAAACACACACATTATTATGTTTTACATACATGATAATAATAATTTATGTTATTCCTTGCTATATTTAGACTTAAACTCTATAAGGAAAGATATATTGTTAATACAGTCTTAACTTAGATTCATATTAATTTGCACAATAGGTATCATATAGATAGATAATAATGAAGAATTAAGTTCATTGAATAAACAATTCAAGTCAAAATAATACTTTGTATCTAACATCCTAAAAATGCTCTAAACATGTTCCATCAACAGATAATTTCCCAAACCCACCATTATTCTCAGAGTGATTTAAAAAATTATTATGGAGAGTTCTTTTTAAATGAAATATTTATGTCTTAATTTATTGAGAAAATGATTTTGAAATCTGGAAAATATTTCTAAATAATTAAAGGTTATTTCTAGTGTAAAGCATGTAAAGTAATACATTGGAATGCAGAATCATATATCACACATCTCCAAAAATAAGTTTTCAAAATGAACTAGAAGTCTTTCTCAACTGTCTGACTAAGGCATGAGGAATGCACATTGCTCTGCAACTGGCGATGAATTGACGAAATCTAACGATAAATAGCTGACGAGCAGTTAAGATTAGCTGAGAGGAACATACCTTTAATCAGTGAATAGTGACATTTCCCAGCTATCTCAGGAAAATGACCGGCTTGCTCAACTGCATGCACATTTTAAAATATACTTGACTTATATCCACTATGAAGATAAGAAAGAAAAGAAAAGGAAACCTTTTAAACCATCAAAGCTGCCATCTGAACATTTAGCAATAGCCAAGATTTACTTGTATTTTATTTTTCAAAGTGTCAAAATATTATAATGATAGTGCTGCTATTTTAAAATTCTCTAATGTCTTTTATTTCAACTCCTAAAAATGTGAGAATGGTATCTGACCGCCTCTCGCTGCCTAGGGGAGCGTGGGAGTCAAGGTCAGCCTCCACCACCCAAGGCTGGTTGTTAAGAGGCAAGGGTTACACGTGTGTTCATCCTCCAAATGTTTCACAGTCCTGACACCCACTCTCCCTCCTGTACAACCCCCAGTATAATCAACTTCTCTGCTGGCTTGGGTCATTTGAAACAGTGGACGTACAGATCTCACAGATAATACTCACAATTAGGGGGTTTATTAAGGAAGCAACAGGTTACAGTCAGCATCAGGAATGTTCAGCGTGTTTTTATCAGAAGAGCTTTTTGTTAGTGATGCCCACAAGCACACTTTCCTCCAGCCCTGGCCCTTTTCCCAGTCCCTACTCTGTTTAGGCAAGTGTTACAGCGCTCTTTTACTTCTCAAAGACACCCCAATTTGGCACGAGGCTTCAACCTGAATGGGCGTAGTTCCAGCTCTATAGGCTGGCAAGTCCAGCTCCCAGACACTCACCTTTCTCATCGGATTGTCAGGAACTCACTCCTCGGACGTGTGTCTGTCTCCCGACTTCATCCTCCTTGGCGTCACACCTCTTTACTGTCTGCATTGAAAAGGGTCTGTCTGTGCAGGAAGATCCGTCCAAAAGACCACTCGTGGCACTTTTTTCTGGATGCCAGAGCGTCCCTCTGCCTCTTTGGAATGGCTCATCGTAAGACTAGAGGTTATATCAAACTCCATCGTTCCCTCATTAGCGTTTCATGCTCCACCTCGTACCACACTCGACGTAGACAAGCTCCTGACTGACACTGTTCCTTATTACCCTGGTGGACCGCAGGCACCTCTCCTTTTCAGTCCTGCCAAGTTAGTCGAATTATGGCTTTGGCAAAGAATACTGAGAGTGTCACAGACGGTCATAAAAGGAAGCAGATCTATCTCAGAGGAAGCATACATCCAGCTGTTCCTTAGAAGGTAGGCCAGGAAGACTTCCTTCATATTGGGCATGTTGCCAGGAAAGACCGGTCCCTAGAAAAATACATGATGCGTGTATTTTAGTAGAGGGTCCGTGCAAAGGAGAGAGACCCTCAATGAGATGGACCGATACATCTGTTGCAACAATGGGCTGACACTTAACAACAATTGTGAAAATGGCGCCTGTCCAGGCACGGTTTGGGCCTGCATGGGGTTGCTGAGTCGGAGCTAGATAGCACCCAAAACAGACAGATCAAGTCATTTGGTAGGAGCTAAAAAATTGATAAGCAGAAGGGTCACTTTAAGTAGCTCACTGCACAACACCAACAAATGAACTTGAGCATAGATTTATTTTAGGCTACTTCATTTTAGGGGACAGTATATAAAAATGTACACAGGTTTTTCAAGGTGATCATAAATGAAGAAATATTCTCCTATTTAATAAAACAAATTTAAAATTAGGATAATTATTAAACAAATCACAGTTAATAATTAATTAGAAGGAAGTATGGAGGAAATAATTTGTCATTTATAAAATACATAAAGATGAAATTAGGAGCACCGTTAGGAAACAAATGAATAAGAGTTAGTGGAAATAGAACAGAATAAATATACCTTAGCTCCCTCATATAATAGAATGTGGTCACTCTTCCTTACTCTCTTCACTTTGTATTATTGAATGCAGATTATAAACAATACTTTTAATTTTAATATCAAAAAAGGGGAATTTTAAAGAAACATTGCATTTGCTGAACATTTTAGACTTGCTATCATCGTCCACGTCATCCCCCTCCTCACTCACATCTTTCCCTCTTCTCTGACTTGTTTGGCAGCATGTTGAAATTCTGGTGTACCGTTGAAAAGAAAAGAAATTAAATAAACTCCTAAGCACAGAAACTTGCATTCTATCTGCCAGCATTTAGGAATTATGCACAATAAAACCATGATTCAAAAGAATGTATTTTTGGCAAGGATTAATGTTAGCTAAAGAAGAATGGATATTAATTTAAAACATGAGAACTAAACCTAATCAGTGGGTAAGTGCTTTATGCTTTATGTTTATGTTAAGCTATTTTGTAAGTGAGGTACCGTTTCTAAGGTTTCACTCTGAAAGGTTAGGACCGGTACAAAGAGAATTAGGTGCTCTACATAGTGAAGTAAGACAAATCTTAATAATTCATAGAGCACTGAAGAAAAAGGACAGAACCAGTACCAGAATAGAGAAACAGTTGCTTCAGAGAACATTCAAGGAACAGAAAGGAAAAGAAAACAAATTACAGAACCAGCATTTTTGCAGACTCAGATGAGTGAAAGGGACGTAGAGTGGGGCGTTCACAATGGTGCCTATGTGACAATGCTTATGTTATAGATGCACTGAACACATGCATTACTTCTTAGCTATCCCTCTTCACCATGCAGACATATTAGTTCTGAGTTATGTCAGTTTGCCATACTGTGGTGGCTTGTTTACGGAGGTCTTGCCGGACGCTGTGCCACAGGTACTTGAAACACCAGTATAGTGAACCCTAATGACGAGGTTTCAGAGGCGTGTCAACACTAAGGATATACTTTGAAGAAGGAAAGTGACAGTCTGATTCTAAGGAAGTCACCACAGACAACTTTACAGAATAGTTCCAGATATAATGCTGGAAGATGAGCCCCTCCGGGTGAAAGGCACTTAAAACGCTAGGCTGGGAGAGCTGCATCCGCAAAACAGAATCCATGTTAGAGGCCTGGGAAGCCCGTGCTGATGGAGCATTTCTAGAAGGAGGAGAAGCAGCTACAAGGATCTGTGAGTAATCAGAAAGCAGAATGTACAAAGTGTGAGTCTTGGAAACCGAGACATCATCAGCAACATTGAAGCACATGATAATCAATATCCTAAACATTTGAGATGAAATAGACTGGCATTGGCCCTTTGATTCAGACGGACATGTGGCTTACGATGTCATTGGTAACAAAACCGAAAGAAATGGCATCACAATCATTGTCAAACAGAACCTTTCAATATTAATCTTAAAATACAATGATGGCTGGGATAGTTGTTGTTAGGTGCCTGTCAATGGCCTGCTGCAGTCATTAGTGGTTGGTTTGTAGCAAAATTAATGTACCTAGTAATAACAACAGCATGATAGCCCCTTCAAATTTCCCCTGGCTCCATGGTCTTTCACGTGTGCACCATGATTGGTGCCGTCAATGAACTAAGGAAAACCAATGTCTCCTGCATCAGACTCATTCAAGGCATGGAACAGAGTCCAGACTGACAACACGCATCAGAATTCAGGAAAGAAAGAATTCTAGTAAAAGCTAAATATGAGAAATACTACTGAGCAGGTGATCTCGAATATATTTATCCAAGATTCTTAGTAACTACATATTGTACAAAGGTTGAATGTACTTTGCAGCTAACAATTTTAATTTAGCAAGGTGATTCCAGTAAACTGATTGAATCCAGATAGATATTTGGGGGTACTGGTAGTTGATAAATGAAAGAATGCATTGCATCGGGTCAATCTGGCCCCTTGAAAACTCAGGTGCGCCTGACCCAGGCCATGATATTCGCAATCTCCTCCTATGCAGGTGACAGTCTGATGCCGAATAAGGAACGCCAAATAAGCATCACTGCACTGGAGCCATGGTGCTGGCAAAGAATACTGAGCATCCCAGGTCTGGTAAAACAACAGACAAACCTGTCCGGTAGGAAGTATCACTAGAAGGCTCCTTAGAAGCTAGGATTGAGAGAATCCATCTCACGTAATCTGGACAGGTTTTCAGGCGAAAAGGTTTTCAGTCCCTCGGAAAGGACATCCTGTTTTATGAAATAGAAGGACAACAAAAAGAGGATGATCGTTCACAAAACGGGCAGACACATTGGCTGCAACAGTGGGCTCAAACAAAAGAGGAGGGAGGATGGCGCCGGGCTGGGCAGTGTTTTGGTTTGTGGTACCCAGTAGGGTGGCTGCCAGTCAGAACCGACTTGAAGGCACGAGCAACCCCCAGTAATCATTGAACTTCAGCCTTCCCAGAGTGTTTTTCTAATTGGAGTGCCTCCCTGACCCCTTAGAAACATTAGCAAAGTGGCTCAGATCTTACATTCCATAAGGCCCTGCAGCGAAGATGAGAAAACGAACGTGCAGTGTGATGCTGCCTTGTGGCACCTACTTTTCTCTTGAAGTCATGTACGTGGCTACGAGCATGAACACGATCAGCGAATCTTGTCCACTCACTTCACGGACACGAGGGTACCACTTCAGTCATCATTTGCCAGCTAGGGGAGGTAACAGTCAAGGAGTTTACTCTTTGGGGGGTGGCCTTCTTCAATGACGATGAAGAAGGACCGTCCGAGTGTAACGCTGGGGCCATGCTAAATCTTATGTGAAGTCCTTAATCGCCATCAGAGAAACCTGGGTTCAGCATGTGGTCGGAATAATTCCTTGGAAGTGTCTTAAGAGAAACATTCCAAAGGATTTGCCAGCAAAATGCTGTGCACCTCCTGGCTTAAAAAACACCACCAGCTGAGGTCTGAAGGTCTCTCAGAAGTCTTCACATGTGTCATTGGGGGTGGGGTGGGTCATCTCCTCTTGACTATCCAAAGATAATTGCTTTTGCACCATTTCTATAGTTTGTCTTTGAGACAGTGGCTTTAAAACTGTAAGACATTGTACTTGGGCTCTTCAGTGGGGAGTGCAAGCAGGTAAGACAGTGAGATAGTTAAGGTTTATTGTGCCCACATGGCCAATGAACACATGCGGGATTAATTGAAGGGTGGAGAGATAAATGGTTCAGCGAGCCTCACCTTTCTTGTCTCTTGCTCTTTGATCATTGGACCCGTGTGCAGCTGCCTTGCTTGTTCTGGGGCTCAAGCTACGCTACCTGTGGGACACCTAACCCGTGGACTGTGTCGCTGTAATTTGAAGATCCTTCAAGACCTGCTTTGCCACGCTACTGCAATATACATCTCTTGAGCTGGGGACTGTGGGACCCTGTCATCTGGCTGACTGTTGGTGACCTGCCTTGCTGTTAGCTGCCTATGGCTGGATAGCCTGAATTGCTCTACAGAGAACTACCCACCAGCACTCAAGACTTGAAAGACTGCCAGTGTATTAGCTGTTTCATGGAAGTGAGTTGCACTGAGCCACTTGTACTACTTTATCATTAATTGTTTATTTCTTATGTTATCAATTTTTCTATATATAAACTTATTAGTGTCCTGGTTCTGTTTCTCTAGAGAACCCCGTCTAACACAGAGCTGGTGAACCCTATACCATCCTACCAGAGGAAGGCTGCTGCTTTCAGTTTGCTCTGTTTATGCTTCTAGGCATTATTTTTCACGATATTCCTAGCAGTAACATTAGAAAAACTGTATAAACTCTACATCCATACTCTATAAAAGCTATATACCTATATAAAAATATCTTTCTACAACTCACAGGGCAAAATGGAAATCCACATTTAAAATTTAAGGTGAAAAATTACTTCTTCAGGAAGTTGGTAATAGAATTTTTCGGGCCTGAAGCTTAATGTATAATTTGTATTTCTTGTAGCCTGCCAGTTTTGATTCAAATAATAAAAGGCTAAATAATTAACATACTCATTCCTGCATGACACTTAGTGAACACTCACATTTTAGCCACTGCCAATCCTGAGATTACAGTTGTTCCATTGTTCTTAAAAAGAAGATGATGAGAATGTTTAAGGTATAGTTAAAATTATTCGATTCTTTTAACTTCACCACTGGGTGTGACTCGGTATGAATTTTTCTGTCAGGGCAAATAGCTCGCCACAGACCCAATAACCATAACAGGAGCTTTGAATTATTTAAAATCAGCGAAGG